AAAGAAATGCACTTTTGATAATACAAATTTTTTGGGCAGTCTTTTAGACCAACGATAATTAACTGAATTTGTTGAAAGCTTTCCAAAAGAAAAAAAACGTTTTATTTTGATATAGCGATTTTTATCAGCCTATAAAACTGCTGCTTTCAGTATCCAACTTATCTTTTTTGGTCATTATCGTTAGAACAGAAATTTGTCGTTGACGTTGACTTCCTTTTTTTTGCACAGACAAAGAACTGTTCCTATAGCAATAGTCAATTTGCTTAGCTCAAAAAAATTTTGCTTGATTCTGACATTTGTCAACTGCACAAATTGTCAAAAAATGAAATTAATGTTGAAAAGAAAAGAAAAAAAAAACTATGTTCAGCTGTTGTAAACAGTATACCAATTTGTTCTACGTATCTGCCTACATTTTATACAACCTTGATTTTGCTATCTTCCAGAAAACAGCTTCTTTACTGCGCCAAATGTTCCATTCCACAATGGTCGTCTATTTAGGAAATTATACTGCTTAGTATCAATTATAGGAAAATCTTTCAAATACGTTACTCTTTTTTATGGTCTGTTAGCTTTTCACAAAATTTTGCGCTTAAAAATCGTTTCAAAATTATTGCTCAACAAACTTCTTTTGAATAAAAAAAACTGAAACGGCAACAATTTTTATTATTTGCTGCACAAAATTTGTATTCTATGCAGTTTCACTACAAAGTACGATGATTAACACTGTTCTTTTTTATCATGCAGCATCTGTTGCCAATTTTTCAAAACCGTTTTTTCACTACAGCTTACTAATTTGATGCTTTTGATCAAACCGAGTAATGACTAAGAAAATAACGTTTCATGACTGAAAAATGTTGCCAATTTTACATGTTGAAAATTCAAATGTGTATCTAAAGTTTGAAGACATGTAAACTGTTAAAAACCCAAAAAACCCCCCCGATTTTGTACAAAAAAAATTTGACGTTTTAACAGCGTTTCTAACTTCGCTTTTTTTGTAAGTCTACGAAGCACTTACATCAAAAATTAAAGCAATATTTATTTTATTACATCGAGTTCTTTATTTTATTTTGTTCCCAGTCTTGAAGAAAAGTGCTGTAAAACATTTTGACATTTTAAATGTTTGAATTGTAGCCTTTGCTTTAAAGTGCACCTCTAAACTGAACCGGTATTAAAAGTAATGAAGTAATGAACAATTGCTGTGGTTATTATCATCATTTTTATTATCTCTGTTATTCTTACTATTATTATTCTTACTGTTATATTGGTTGATGTAGACTGTTAGCTGAAACTTTCATGTGACTAGGTAAGTTTCATTATTTGCAGTTTTTAGGTTTTCCATAGCGATGTCAAGAAGAAATTGGTATTTTTATACAGTCTTATTGAGCAAATGAATGCTGCATGATACCGAGCCAAAGCACTGTGTAAACAGGGAGATTTGAAAACTGCAGCACAACGACAGCTGGTATTTGGCTATTGCCAAGCAAGTCGTGTCAACAATGAGAATAAACTTGCACTGTGGTGTACAGGAAACTTACCAACAGCTCGATTATTCCACATACATCAAGATGCAAGCATTTGAACATGAAAAATGATTGCTGTATTTGGATATAATGTTCGACATCTCTATTTAAGCTCTACAATATATTTTTTACCCAGTCAGTTCAGATACTTAGATTTACAGAAATACTTTCCATAATCTTTCTTCAGCTTTTGATTCTTCTGGGAATGCCTCACACACTTATGGTAACAAACCGAATTTGAAATACACCTTTGCAGAAATGCTTCATCACTGATCTATTATGGATCTTTGATCAGTGCTATACTATCACCGGGCTTTACTTTTTGGAGGGCATTAGAAGTTACAGTTCTTTCAAGATCAATTTATTTTATTAAACTAAATAAGCAACATTTTCTAGCTTTATTTCACCACTCAGTTTACTTTCATATTAACCGCAGTTCTACAGTTCTGCAAAAGTAATCAGTTTCCGACATTGACAAGTAACACCACTACGCTGTCACCTCAAGACACATAATATATTTGAAAAACAAAAAAAAAAAAGTAATAAATTGCAAAATATTTTTCTTGCTTCTCAAAACATTACTTCCAAAAATAGTTATAAAAATTTCTCCTATTAAACAGTATTTTTGTCGTTGGATAATGTTGTTGTTACAGCGATTTCATTACAGCTCTTACGGTCTCTGAAACTTTGATTCTATTTGACCATCGTATTATATAAAAGAAATTTTAAGCAAAAAATTTGTTGTCATGTTTAGTTGAGGACTAACTGGCTTATATTTTGCGTAACCATAAAACCCAGGAACTTATTATATAATGCAAAACAAGCAGGCACTTTCAAAGGTGTTCGCTGATATGATGATCGCACAAAGTTATACTAACAAATAGACAAGACTTATATAGGTTAATAAAAGTGTAATTAAGAAAGACAGATAGTCAAAGATATAATTTTAAACTAAAGTTTTGCAGATGCATCTGACTATTTTAAGCATATAGCACTTTTAAACGATAGAAATACTAATGAACAGCAAGTGTTCAAGAAAAGATAAATTG